AAGTTACAGTGAAAATTTTAAAAAATATCTTAAAGATAAAAAAACTTCAGTGTTTCAAAAATAACTTCCTACCCCCAATTATACTATAGATCCTGTAAACTGACAGTTTACATCCATCTGCTCACATCCCTCAAAGTTTGGTTGAAAGCAGCTTTCTGGCTGATAATTAAAAATTAATCATTGGAAGAAAAAAAAAAAGAATATATATATATACACACACACACACACACACAAACACACACACACACATGCAACAGTTTGAGTATTTGAGTGAATCTGAGAAGTCACTTGTTAATTATTGCCAAATAGAAGAATAAAAGTCAGCTGAACCTTAGCCACAAATGCTCCTCCAGGTTTCAGGACATGGGTGGTGATGTTCAAGGCCTAAAAAACAAACAGCAACCATGGTGACATAACAAAATGTCTTTTAGATAAATGTGAATACACTTCTGTACTTACAGCTAGTAGGAGCTGAGCTTGTATGTACTCATCTACATCATGGAGTCCAGTTACTATAGTCATTTAAACAGGACAGAAAATCAGAGCAACATCCAGGAGATAGGTGAGACTCACAGTAAAGGCAGAGCAGAGAGGGTAGCAGCTCACCGTCTGGAGCTCCGTCACACACCACCAGATCTGCAGGCTCCCCCTCAAAGTGGCAGATTATCTCCTGGGCTGTCGATACCTGAGAGGAAGAAGAGAAGGAAGAATCTTTATGCTTTAAGAGTCTTTCGCTTTGTTTGTATTTTGTAAAGAGGACGAGTGAAATAAACATTCACAAGATGAGGACATTTTTAAAATTTCCTCTATTTCAAACGCATTAGACATTATTCACTTCCCATTTCATCACCGTGGCAAAACACTCTGCTTTATCCATCCATCCATTATCAGTACCGCTTATTCCCTGATGGGGTCGCGGGGGGAACTGGAGCCTATCCCAGTGGTCAACGGGGAGAGGCAGGCTACACCCTGGACAGTCCCCAGTCCATCGCAGGGACACACAGAGACACACAAGGACCAACAACCACTCACACTCACATTCACTCCCAAGGGCAATTTCCCCAATCTCCAACAACCTAACATGCAGGTTTTTGGACTGTGGGAGGAAGCCGGAGAACCCGGAGAGAACCCACAGACACAGGAGAACATGCAAACTCCACCCAGAAAGGTCCTGGTTCCCCCGGGATTCAAACCCAGAACCCTCTTGCTGGGAGGTGACAGTGCTAACCACCACACCACCGTGCCGCCCATTCTGCTTTATAATCATGGAAATAAATCAGATACTCTTTTTTTGATAATATGACAAAAACTACACTGGTTTTTTTTTTGCCCCCCCCAGTATAAAAACGATCAATTAACAATAATACTTTTGGTAGGATGCCAGTACTCGGGGAGAATTCATGCATATATGGAGGGATATGCAAACTCCACACAAAAGAGCCTGTCATAGTAATCATAGTAACCATGTGACAGAATATCAGAAGAAAGCCAGCTTAGAATAACCAGAATGCCTTTTGACCCGATGAACAGCAATCCCGATGATACATTTAGTCAAATATGTTCAACTTGTTAGGTGGATAACATTCCCATGTTTCTACCTTGGTGATGTCTCCCTGAATCTGAGTGACTCCTGAGAGAGGAGCCATGGCCTGCAGATCCACCGCCACGATCTTCACCTTTTCCCCTCGCTCACCTTTCTCCTCGTTACCCCTGAGAGGGAAATGGAACTATTCATTTGATTCCATTTAAAATGTTGAATGCTATTGTTTTATCACTATTCCATAAACAGCTGCCACCCTGAGGGTTGGGAGTTACCTTAGTTTCCGACTCAGGACCTGACTCCAGCTGCCTGGCGCTGCACACAGATCCACTGCTCTGGACACGCCTTATGGCAAAACATTTAAGAAAAGAAAGAAAATGATAATTACTCACAAACAGTAGCACAGCTGGTCATTATGGAAGTTCTGCTTAAATGTATTTAGTAAAATAGTAAGTCTATCATTCTAT